GCTTTCAAACGCAAAGGGTGAACTCGGGTGTGCTTGAACCCTTCACCAACTTGGTCTTAGCGTTCCTCGATGCCGCGAGATTCGGGTGCGCTCAGCTTTCTCGCGGTTAGACCGAGTGAGTGACCAGACGGGTTTCAGCAGGGTGTCTGGGTCACTGGCTGGAAGAAGTGGCCCTCGAAGTGCGGGAACTGGCCCTTCCTAAAGTGCCGGTGGGCAACTCCTGCTCTCCATGCTCTCTCTGCAGCCAAGCCGCGGCTCTGCAGCACTGCGCCTTGTCGCAACGGGGGCACCTGCAAGGAGGCCGATGGCGAATACCACTGCGCCTGCCCCTACCGTTTCACCGGCAAGCACTGCGAGATAGGTACTGCCCTGCAAGCAGCTCGCCTGGTACTCCGGCTACCTCCCTCACCCCAGGAGGAGGGAGGTGGCCTCATCCTGCTCGCTGCTTACGTTCCCTCGTGCCCTGTGCTCGCAGGCAAACCAGACCCCTGTGCCTCAGGGCCCTGTCAGAACGGAGGCACCTGCTTCCACTACATCGGCAAGTACAAGTGCGACTGTCCCCCGGGGTACTCTGGACGACACTGCGAGATCGGTACGTGCGGGGAGATGAGCTGGCTGCTCCGAGGGATGGGGGCTGGGGAAGGAGAAGGGGCCGAAGGGTGAGTTATCAGCCTGAGCCGATAACTGTAATGGGAGCCTTAGCAGCAAGCGAGCCTCGTCGCTTCGTTTGAACGCCCTTCGCTATAACTTAAACTGGACTGGGGCTGCAGAGAACAGCCCCGCAGACCCTGCGCCCGCTGCCCAGCGGGGTGACACTGGTTTGAGGTGGGGAGCTGATAATTCTCATTTCCGTGCTCTGGCAGCTCTATGCCCATAGCAGTTTTCTCTGCTCTTCTTCCAGTGCCTTCTCCATGCTTCCTGAGCCCCTGTGAAAATGGCGCTACCTGCAAGGACCTTGGTGGGGACTACGCTTGCACGTGCCCCGTGGGCTACGTGGGGAAGCACTGCCAGTCTGGTAAGGGCCCTGCTCCTGCCACCTTGAGCCAGGCGCTCTGGGTGCTTCTGCCATGTTCGCTCACATCCCTGTGTCTCCGCAGAGATCGATTGCGGTGTCCCCAACAAGGTGAAGCACGCCCAGGCCTCCTTCAACTCCACCAAGGTGGGCTCGCTGGCCGAATACCAGTGTGAGCTGGGCTACACCCTCAGCCAGCACAACAACCCCCGCGTCTGCCGCTTGCAGGGCGTTTGGAGCGACCCGCCGGAGTGTGACGGTAAGGAGCACAGGGAAGTAGCCGAGCGCTTGGGGCACCCGTCCCAGCAGGCTGCCACCCGATCCCATGGCCCGGGGACCAGGGTACACCACTGCTCTGGTCCTCCCCTCCCCGCATCTGTGGGCACGGCTTTCAGAGCACCCCACAGACCTCCTAGGTACTCTCCTCTCTCTAACGGGCTTTCTTCTGCCCAAACTCCTGCAGAGATTGATGAGTGCAGGTCCCAGCCCTGTCTGAACGGCGGCCTGTGCAAGGACCGCGTTGCCGAGTTCCTGTGTGTGTGTGAGCCGGGATACACGGGCCACCACTGTGAGTTGGGTAAGAGAACGTGAAGAACACGCTCCGGGGCCACGACAAGTGGGGAAGGGAAGAGTCCCGGCTCCCGTGGGTGACCATAGCAAGTCCTTCCTCGTCCACCTTCCTGCAGGGAATGGTGGCAGGGTGTGAATCACACGTGCAGCAGCTGGACCGCCTGGGTTGGGTGCACCAGCTGGAATCTCCTGCCTGCGGCAGATTAGCCCGCAGTGAGGCCTCCTCTCCTGGAACCAAAGTGTTCCCCTGAGGTGTCTGAGCAGAGAAGCTATTCCCGCAGGTCTCCCTGTGTGAAGGGATCCTGCAGCCAGCTCTGAGATCTGTTAGCAGGGAGACGCTGCTCCAGATCAGGTGGAAGACTAGCTGAGGCTGTGAAGGGCATGTGTGCTACTTGTGTCTTGCCCACCCATGCTAGTGGATGCTGCGTGGGCCTCTCCGTTGCTGACAGGGCTGCAGAGAGCAGGGCTGAGCCGTTCAAAGTCTGCGATCCCAGGGGAATTGGGTCCAGATGCCCTTGGACAGCTTTAAAGTGCCTCCTTCAGCCCCAGGCTGCTGCTCCTCCCAGCAGAGTTCCCTAGGGAACATTTCCGATGCAGTGCTCTTCATTAAATGTGATGAGACTGCCTGAAGAAGCCCCAGATTTCAGGGTTTGGGTGAGAAGTGTCCCACACAGCCGTAGAGTTATTGGCCAAGAGGGAAAATGCTGAAAAAGCAGCTTGAAAAGGTACATTTCTGGGGCAGCACACGAGAGCATTCCCACCACGGCAGTTCCTGCCACTTGCATGCATGTGTGTGTGCATTTGTGGTCCTATGCGTGCTTAGCCATGCGCTCTTCAGCGGGTGCCGGCTGAAGGGGGACAAAGAGCACGGTGACTGGCGGGACACTGTTGCAGGCGTCTCTGACAGGGTTCCTGCAGCAGAAACTGTCTCTCCAAACTCTCCTCCCCTGCCGCTGGCCGGCACCGGCCCCATTTCGGCTCTGAACCAGTGCCTTCCCTGCCACCTCTCAACAGAAATCAATGAATGCCAGTCGGACCCCTGCAAGAACGGCGGGACCTGCAAGGACCTCCCAGGGTCCTTCACTTGCTACTGTCCCGAGGGCTTCGTGGGGATCCAGTGTGAAACAGGTAGGGACTTCACAGAGCAGGGCCCTTCCTGGGAGTGCTAGAGGCTGTAATGCGGGCAGACCCCAGGGAGGGGACATGGCCAGGGCCTACAGCAAGGCAGACCGCTGGTAGCTGGTCCTGGGAACCCCATGGCTGATGTTCAGTCTCACCAGCCCTAACGGATGACGCTGGAGGCACCTGGGCCTGAAAGAGCTCCTGTCTCCCCAAGCGCTGGCTGTTTGTGGCTTTC